AAAAAAAAGAAGTCCAACAGCCTTCACCCCTTTCCACCACCCTTATGGGAGCTATCAATGAATGCACGGATCTTAAAGAAGTTAAGCTGCTACCAATGTGGATGTAATGGTCAACTGGAAAATGCATTTGAAACCCATGTTTATAGCAGATTTCTTTATAGTCTCTGAAAGAATTAGAAAGGAAGCCCAGGCTACATGGTGGAGTGAAGAAAGCAATAAAGAAAGCAAAATGTGGGTGGCTTAGGAAGCTGGATGCTTTCTTCATACAAAGAAGGAAAGGAGGAGGATTCCTTTTACACTTCCAGTACTCAAATAAAAGAGAAGATTAGTACTGAACAGAAAGTAGGACATTAACCAGAACACTGTTAGGCAGGAGCTAGTATTGTCACCTCCCAGGTAAAACAAATACTGTGGGATTAGCAGATGGGAAGTGCCAGGCATTAACCTTTTAGAGAACATAGAAATCTATGTTTTTATATTGTCACATCATACATCCAAAGACATTGTTTAAAATTATGAAAGGAAGGGAAATAGTAGCAGATTTCTACAGGACAAGTAGTAATAGAGTAGAATAATAAGTCTTCTTGCATTCTAATAATTAATGTAAGAGAGCAAATAGAACTATGTCCAATCAACAGAAGGGATTCGACATTAGGAATCAAACATTAAACATGTCATTACAAGTACAATTAAAGCTGAAGACAAGCTGCCTAAACCAACTGAAAACCTGTCATCACTGGAGAGAATTTGAGACTCCATCAGAGAACACCAGAAGAGGCTGATCTGAGCATAAACTGGTCAGAACTCTGAGGATTAGTGGGCTGGATGCCTACGAAGATCCTGTAGTTGTTGCTGACGTGCAACGTGATAGTAGCGTTGGCTACTATCCCAAACTAAGCCTCTCCTCTCAGAAATTTAAAGAATGAGTGTCAGTACCTGGAGCCATGCTTCACATGTAAAATACCAGTGCTTCTAAGAATATGGACCAAGGGCAGGGATCCATGCTAGAGTACTTGTCTACATGCCCAAGCCCTGTGGCCATCTCCAGTACCATAGGAACAACAAAACAAAATTATGATTGAAATAAAAGATGGAAATTATGACACATTGCCATCTGTGTAGTAATTTTTATTACTATTTTGTTGTTGTAGGTCCTAGGGCTTGCACTCAGGGCCTGGAGACTGTCCCTCAAGTGTTTTGCTCAAGGCTAGCACTCTACCACTTTGAGCCACAGCTCCAGTTTTCTGGTGGTTCATTGGAGATAAGTCTCATTGACTTTCCTGCCTGGGCTGGCTTTGAACTGCAATCCTTAGATCTTAGCTTCCTGAGCAGCTAAGATTACAAGTGTGAGCCATCAGCATCCAGCTTATTTAGTACTTTTTAAAAATTATAATAATTAGAAATAGGATCAACTAAAAATTACCCATTGTTATTTTCCTTTGACATGGTAAGTGGTCTATTGTATCCTATCTCATCAAAAGCTGTCAATCTAGCCAGGTATACATGGCTCATGCCTATAGTCCTATTAGGAACCTGAGTTCTCAGGATCACAGTTCAAAGCCAGCCCCAGCAGGAAAGTCCTCTTATCTTCAGATAACCAGCAAAAAGGCAGAAGTGGAGATGTAGCTTAAGTGGTAGAGTGACAGCCTGATCTAAAAAGCTATGGAAAAGTAGCCAGGCTGTGGGTTTAAGCCCCAGCACTGGTACACACACACACACACACACACACACACACACACACACACACACACACACACACACAAAAACCTCAATCTATTAGAATGGATAAATGAACACCAAAAAAATCTGTCCAGATTAAACAAAAGTCTCTCTTTAGTTATACTTTCCATAAAATGAAAACAGCAGGCTATAAAAGGTCATGATCCCACTGATAAGAAATTGTCCAAGCACAAAAAGGAACTGCTCGATTGTATTATCTAATGTTAATAGTGTAAATATCTAGGTAGATAATTTTACTTTCAATTGCATAGCTTTTGCATAATTGCTCTCAAAACAAAACTATAAAGCTTAGGACCCAGATTTCAGGATTCAGATTTCACCTTTATGCCTTATTAGTCTTGAACCAGCTGCATAATCTCTGTATGCCCTCATGACTTCATGTGTAAATAGATAGAGACTGTACCTCACCATGCTTTATTTTGTGTGTGGGGGGGGGCCAGTACTGAGGCTTGAACTCAGGGCATTGCATTCTTGCTTAGCTTTTTCACTAAAGGCTGGCATTCTACCACTTGAGCCATACCTCTAACTTCTCTCAAATTTGACTAGACTGGCTTTGAACCACAATCCCTCAGACTCAGCATTCTGAGGAGCTAGAATACAAGTGTGAGCCACAGTGCTTTTGAGAGGGCTAAATGCATGTGCAAACATGAGGCACTCAAACAGTGTACAGAACAGAAAGTAGCAGTTGGCAGTAGACACAGTAGTGCTACTAATGCCAAACCAGGTATTTGTAAAATTGACTGCTCAGCAAAAGCAATTGCTCATGGCCAAAAGTAAGAAAGGGAATGAAAAAGCCTTTCCATTTAGGTTTGCAAAATAATTGAGAAATAAACCAAAATATTTCGCAGATCAGCTATAAAGAACACGAAGTGAGAGCACAGCAAACATTCCCCTTAACTTGGTCACCTCATTTGGGGAGTCAATGGGTACAGGTGACTAGCAAGTTGAAGAGGAGCCCCAAGTGGTTACTTCACATGTACAAATCTCTCTCTCTCTCTCTCTCTCTCTCTCTCTCTCTCTCTCTCTCTCTCTCAACTTAGCAGCAAAAAGAGAAGATGTTCTAATGAGGTTAGAATTTATAGGCCAAAAGATTCATCCTATTTCTTAAAGACTCTTTAAAATGCCTTAACCTACAAAGGCTGGAACTTTAGTTTTAAAAAAAGGAGGGAGGTATATAAAAGAAAAATTGTATAGACTAACACTTGATTTAAAAAGATCAGATAATCCTTTTAGAGACAGAAAATAAACAATATCATGGCTGGGAATGTGGCTCAAGTGGTCTCTACCACTAGCTTTGAACAAAAGAAGCTCAGGGACAATGCTCAGGCTCTGAGGTCAAGCCCCAAAATTCACAAAAAATAAAGAAAGAAAATAAACAATATCAGTAAGTGAAATAAATAGTTGATTATCAGGTAAATCTGTGGAGAAAATGCAGCAGGAAGTAGAGTTGACTAGGGAGAGAAGTATTAACAATTTGAATAGGGTAGGTAGAAAAAGTGACATTTGAGTTTGAATTAGACCAGGGAGAGTTTAATCAATTATACTGCAGAATTATCAGCACCAACTAAGTAGTTGTTGTTTTGGTGTCTGTATTAAGGTTTGAACCAGGACTCCTGGTTCTCTCCCTTAGCATTTTTTTGGGGGGTCCAGTCGTGGGGCTGAACTCTGGGCCTGGGCGCTGTCCCTCAGCTCTTCAGCTCAAGGCTAGTGCTCTACCGCTTGAGCCACAGTGCCACTTCCGGCTTTTTTCTTTTTGCTTATGTGGTGGTGAGGAATCGAATCCAGGGCCTCTACCACTGAGCCACCTTCCCAGCCCTCCCTTAGCTTTTTCACTGGTGCTCTAGCATTTGGGCCACATCTTCACATATGGCTTTTAGCTGGTTAACTGGAGATAAGAGTCTCTCTGATTTGTCTGCCCAGCTGGCTGTGAACTTTGATTCTCAGATCTCTATGCTGGATTAAAAGCTCCAGTTAAGACAAGGTTTCAGTTATCTCTATTTCATTTATCCTAGACATCCCTTTTAGTATTGATAATATGCACAGTGGTTATGACACACATACCCTACTAGTAATATTTCTCCTGATTTAAATCTAAAGGCAAGCTGGGAACCAGTGGCTCACGTTTGTAATCCTAGCAACACAGAGGCTAATATCAAAGCCAGCCCAAGCAGGAAAGTCCAGGAGACTCTTATCTCCAGTAAAGCACCAGAAAACTGGAAGTGGTGCTATGGCTCAAGTGGTAAGGTGCTAGCCTTGAGCTGAAGAGCTGAGGGACAGCACCCAGGCCCAGAGTTCAAGCCCCACAACTGACATACATACATATATACATACATACATACATACATTAAAATTTAAAAAAAACTTAAAGGCATAAGCTTCTTGAATATGTAATCTTTATATAAACATTTCCAGGAAGAGAATCCAGATTTTCCTTGGGAAACATCCGCCAGTGGAACTTAGGTGATGCTGATACCCCCTGAAGTTCAGGAGTACCCAGTGACCCATAGGAAACTACTAAGAACCCTTGGCACTCAGATCCATGTCCTCTCTGGCAGAGGATGCTCCCCTACCAGGTTGCTAAGGTGACAGAGTATAGGTCTGAATGATTTATGGAGTCATTTTTGCCACCCCTGGGGAAAGGAGAAGGAGAGTTAACCTAAAGATGAAGCCAATGAAGTATAGATACAACTGTGCTAACTGGAAAGAAATGGGAATTTAAAAAAAAAAAGATTAGCACCTCTGGTGCTATTTCTGGGGGCCTTGGATTTAGTCTCACCATAAGACCTCACTTCAATTTTCACATAGCTGGAAGATACATTTCCTTTCTATTTCCATCATTCCAAGTCAGGCTCTGTCGTCTGCAACCAAGAGCCTTGGCAAATACAGAGAACCCTTCAGTAGCTAATCTCTACTTTTTTTCTGAGAAAGTAAGCAGCTGAGCTCAGTGGCTCAAGCCTGTAACCCCAGGTAATTGGGAGTGGAAATTGAGGGATTTCAAGGGCCAACCCAGGCAAAAAGACTCCATCTCATTAAATATCTGGGTCCCGTGGTGCAGGGCATTTCCCCCACAAGTGGGGAGTGGGAGACAGGAGGTCGGTTCTGGTACAAAGCAAGACCCTACCTCAAAAATAACCAAGATAAAAAGGAGCTGGAGGTACAGCTTAAGTAATAGAGTGCCTATCTACAAGTGCAAGGTGCTGTGTCAATTCCTAGTACTGTGTAAAAAAGGAAGAAAAAAAAAGTTAACAGTGCATACTCACCCGTTCCTGACCAGCAGTGTCCCAGATGAGGAATTTATGAAGTTCGTTTCCACAAGGCACAGTTTTGGTCATGAAAGATGCCCTGAAAAGAGAGTAAACACTTCTATATTACTAAGTACAAAGATTCATGGGTCAAATAAGTTAGCATTATGCCTCAACAGGACTCCAAGAGTTCTGCCCATAGACAACTAATAACAGGCAAAGATGGGTTGTTAAGAGTGCTTTCACCCAAAGAACATATTCTGCATTTTCTGTTACTCTAACTGAACATTTCAAAGTAAACCAAGCCAGGCACTGGTAGCTCATGCTGGTAATCTTTAACAACTCAGGAGGCTGAGATCTGAGAATGAGAGTGTGAAGCCAGGTGGGGCAGCAAAGTCCACGTGACTCATCTTTAATTAACCACCAAAAAGCTGAAAGTTGAGTTATGGCTTAAGTGATAGAGATGCATGCATGTACACACACACACACACACACACACACACACACACACACACACATACACAGAGCAAACAAACAAAATAGGTGCTCAGAAAACAGGTTAAATTGTTCAAAGAAAAAAAAAATCTCCCAGACCACAGGGGAATATTAAAAATCTATTATGCCAATTAAGAGTGTGAAGCAGCACTTGGCATTTTGGCATGTTATGACTTTGGCTTCCTGACTGAAAAGGAAGCAAAACTGGCTTACATATATACTGATGCCGATACGAATCCCACAGTAGCAATGACTAACAAAATATTACATCTAAATTCCAACTTTTAGGCAGAAATGTACAGATAAAGATCATAACATAAAAATTTGTTGTCTTGATCTAATTAAGATGTGTCATATATACAAACTGCTGTGTTAAATGGCAAAAAAATTCAATACATACTCTGAAAGTTAAATGAGGGAAGAGGTGGGCTGAGTGGGATGGGTAAGAATGTTGAAAGGGGTGAAGTTGATCAAGACACATCGTATTCATAAACTGCTTTATTGAATGGCAACTCCTTTGTACTCCTTAAAGATAATAAAATATTTTAAAAATTTGTTTTCTCTGCTAACAAGGAAAAATTTTAAACTGTCAGTATATCATGGAACACTTGCTATTCTGTTTTTTATTTCCTTCTTAATAAGCATTTTCTTTGTGCTTGTGAAAGCTGTAAAAATTCAATATAGGAAGTGTTTCATAGCCTTGATTTTTCTTCTGCTGGAGTTAGTTTCCCATTCACTAAGAAAACAGGACTGGCTAGGTACTAGTGGCTTATACCTATACTCCTAGCTATTCAGCAGGCTGAGATCTGAGGATCATGGTTCAAAGCCAGCCCAAATAAAAAAGACCATGAGATTCTCATCTTTAATTAACCACCAAAAAGCCAGAAGTGGAGCTGTGGCTCAAGTGGTAGAACATCAGCCTCAAGCAGAAAAAGCTAAGGAACAGTGTCCAGGTGCTCAGTTCAAACCTTAGTACTATCACTCTCTCTCTCTCTCTCTCTCTCTCTCTCACACACATACACACACACACACACACACACACACACACACACACACACACACACACACACACACACACACACACAACCAGAACTGGGTGTAGCTCATGTGGTGGAGCATCTGCCTATACGTACAAATCCCTATTTCAAAATCCCCAGTTTCATAAAGGGAAATAGAGTGGTAGCAGAAATATTTTCCTAGAATCTAGATAAAGAGGAAGGAAGGACATAACAAGGACCTTTGATACATATATTCTTGTATTAGTGACAGAGGAGCTGGGAATATGACTCAGTAGTAGAACATTTACCTAGCATGAGTGAGGTTCTTGGTTCAACCCCAGCTTTACAAAGAAAAGCAAAACAAAAAGATAAAGATAATTAGAAGAGCTGGGTGGCCGTGGCTCAAGCCTGTAATCCTAGCTACTCAAGAGGCTGAGATCTGAGGATCTCAGTTCAAAGCCAGCCAGGCAAGAAAGTGGTGAGGCTCTCATCTCCAATAAACCACCAGAAAACTGGAAGTGGCGCTGTGGCTCAAGTAGTAGAGCGCTAGCCTTGAGCTGAAGAGCTCAGGGACAGGGTGCAGGCCCAGAGTTCAAGTCCTACAACCAACAACAACAACAAAAAGATAATTAGAAGACTTTAATTTGGACTATATTCAAGATATCATTGATCAAGTTTATTGGGGGGGGGGGGGGGGCGTGTCCTGAGGCAAGACCAACCATATATTAACTAAAAGCAGGATCTAGCGATTCTTTGTTTTGGAGGGAATTTAGAAGTGAGCACTTCTCTCTCAGCTCTTTCCTTCTCAGCTCTCTCTTTCTCTCTCTTTCTCGCTCTCTTTCCCAGTGCTCTCTCTCTCTTTCCCAGCTCTCTCTTTCCCAGGCCTTTCCCAGCCACGTGGAGGGCCAACATGGCCTGGTGCCAGCCAGAACGATGAATAAACTACCCCTTACCTGAATACCACGTGCGTGGTGTTGTTCTTACTCAGCTACCTCTTTTTAAAAACCTAACATAAGAGGTGCGTGACTCGGATAAAGGGCTTAAAGTCAGGATAGGTGGGATTCCTCTCTGTTTCGTTTCCTCTTTTTTTCTGTTTGTTCTTCCCTTTTTGCTCTGAGGAATACCCATAGTTCTGACGGCCTTTTGTGACCCGGTCTGTCGGCTGCGGACACAGCGCATGGATACCATTGCTGGCCTTCACACCCACGTCCACACCACTTCTCTACTCTGGTGAGTGAAACTACTCTCTACGGTTCTCTGTTGCTCATTCTCTGTCCAGACGTGGTGCCATGCCAGAGAGCTCCTATGGCCTTTAGCTGAAAGGCCAGTCACCTCTGAAGCTGAGGACGCTTGGTTTTGGGGGCTTGACCATTTCTCTCTCTAGAGGGCTCTGGGGGAAGTCGGGACACCTCTTCTGTCTGGTTAGCTCTCCTTCACTCACCAGACTGACTCTCCTACACATCTAATGGGGTGCTGCGAGTCAATTTTTACACCATTCTCAGTTTTAGACAGTTTTTGCCTCTGCAATGGTACATGGGCAGAAGTCTGTTTACTTTTAGGCTCTCTTTGCTCTCTCTGCTAATCATTTCCAACTTTCTCTCCTTTTTTTCTACAACTTTTTGGCTTGTGCTCTGAAGAGTGTGACACTGGCTGGGTCCTGGGGACCCCCCTCTAGATTCCCTCCCAAAGGCTAGCCAATGTAGGCTTGATCTATCTGTTCAGGGTTTCTTAGCATTTTTTCAGAAATTCGCCATCTTGAGTTCGCCATCTTGGCCACATGGTGGGTTAAGGGTTTGGCCCCATCTGACCCTTAACCTTCCACCAAGCTTACTACTCCATCTATTCTAAGGTGCCTTGCTAACAAGTTGCTCTTTTCACAGGCCCTGGTAACGGAGGCCCAACCACCTCATGTGCTTTGTTAGCAAAGATGTCTAAAAATTGATGTCAAAATTTTAGGTTTTGAGTTTTGCCTTTTTTGTTTTGTGTTGTGTATTCTGGTACTGACTACATGACTCTAAAATATTGGGCATATCTGTGCTAATATTCTCACATCCAATGAGTTTTGTCATTTCAGAATATTTGTTGGCAATTCCTGATAAGAACAAGGTAAACTCTACTTATTCTACTTGATCTCCTTGTTGCTTTAATTGGAAATAATAAAGGGCTTTTGTGGCAAAGATTGCAGTTCAAAGCCAGTCCAGGCCGAAAAATCCCTAAGACTCCATCTCCCAACTAACCTGCAAAGAGCTAGGCTGGAAGCATGGCTCAAGACTCTTATCTCTAACCAGCAAACACTGCAAGTGGTACTGTAACTCAAAATGGTTCAGTTCTGGCCTTGAGCAGAAGTGCTCAGGGACAGTACCCAGGCCTTGAGTTGAATCCTCCTTGAATACCAACTGGGACAAGCCATCCAGCAATGAGCACCTAGACTCAGCCAGTCTGGGGAACAAGGGAACATGGAGAGGAGTAAGAGGAGATTATATCACATCAGCTACTTTGCGCCTGCTCTTTCAAAATTAACCAGCCAGGAGGTCAGTAAAAGAAGCCTGCTCATCGGATGTCCATACTTGTCTACCTATTAACTGGACAAGAATTTACAGTTACCTGACTTCTCCTCTACCTAGTCACCAGATGTCAGAAGTAGCTAGGGACATTTCTACCAATATTTTTCAGCCCCAAGTCCTTCCTCTTGCCATTTATTTGCTCTCTAGTATTTTTTTTCCAGCCCCTCAATGCCTCATGAGACTTCTCCAGATTTCATCTAAGGACAAACGTCACCAAGGGACAGCTGCAGCTTGCTGCCTTCTCTGGGAGGGGACCAAATTCCAGCCTTTTACCCCTATTGTCGATGCCCCTTGTCTGCAGGAAGTAGCCAGAGAGAATCTGTGCCCTATTTCATGATTATTAAAAGGCTGGAATGTAAGGTCGGCTTCTGCATGGTGAGAAGACTCCACCCTCCTCGCAGCAAAGTCTCCACCCAGTACCTGCATTACCTAGGCAACTGGCACACCTGGAAGTGTCACATCTGCATCCGTTGAGGTCTTATCTGAATTTGATGTGGCCACACCTTTCTCCACCCATACCCTAGATAAGGCCTAGCCCAGGCCCAGACGTTCTCTGTCAGCTCTTTCCTTTTCAGCTCTTTTGCAGCTCTCTTTCTCTTTCCCAGCTCTCTCTCTCTTCCCCAGCTCTCTTTCCCAGGCCTTTCCCAGCCACGTGGAGGGCCAACATGGCCTGGTGCCAGCCAGAACGATGCATAAATCTACCCCTTACCTGAAAAAAAAAATTAAAAAAGAAGTGAGCATAACTTTTTTTTTCTTGCTGCTGAACACTAGTGGCTCACACTTGTAATCCTAGCTGCTCAGGAGGCTGAGATCTCAGGATTGAGGTTTAAAGCTAGCTTAGGTAGAAAATAGCTCCAGCACATCCAACCCCCCAAAAAACAAGAAGTAGAGGTCTGGTTCAAGTGGTAGTGTGCCAGCTTTGAGCATAAAAGCTCAGGGACAACATCCAGGTCCCGAGTTCAAGCCCCAGTATCATCACACACACACACACACACACACACACACACACACACACACACACACACACACACACAATTTTCCCCCCAGTGCTGGAACAGAACCCAGGGCCCCTCAAGTGGAAATCAAATGTTCTGCCACTGAGCTACATCCCCAACTAACATGAGTTTTTTTGTTTTTTTTTTGATATATTTTTATTGTGAAAATACTGTACAGAGGGGTTACAATTACGTGGGTAAGATAATGAGCACATTTCTTATCAAGCATTGTAGCCTCCTGCTTTGTTTCCCCTTCCCATCCCTTTGTATCCTCCCCCCTCCCCCGCCCCCCCCATCCTCCCACACCAAAGTTGTAAAGTTCGTTTTTCGAAATAACGACTTGTACATCTCATTGTTGAAATGGGTCCTCCTGTATCCCTGTTTTAACAATTATTTGTTTTTTCGCTTCCCCTTCACATATACCAATATCATATATAGTAAAAGCAGGGGTTGTACCATGGGGGAGGGACATACAAGGCAACAAAGACATAATCTTATAAATATAACATAAGTTTTTTTGTTTTGTTTTTTTTGGGGGTTCCGGTCATGGGGCCTGAACTCTGGGCCTGGGCGCTGTCCCTCAGCTCTTCAGCTCAAGGCTAGCGCTCTACCTCTTGAGGCACAGCACCACTTCCGGCTTTTTTTCTTTTTGCTTATGTAGTGCTGGGGAATCGAACCCAGGGCCTCACGCATGCAAGGCAAGTGCTCTACCACTGAGCCACCTTCCCAGCCCCTAATATGAGTTTTTATAATCAGAAAATATAGACTTAATGTTGGGCTTGTCAAGAAGCTACATTTAAAAAAAAAAAGCAATCCATAAAAAAAGCATAGGAAGAGAAAGAGGTGCTGTGGCTCAAGTGGTAGAGTGCTAGCCTTGAGCTGAAGAGCTGAAGGACAGCGCTCTTGCCCAGAGTTCAAGCCCCACGACCGACTGAAAAAAAAAAAAAAAGGATAGGAAGAGACTACATTCTGTGGAATGTTAAAAATGATTTGATACATTGCTATTTTAGAAATGATTTATTTAGACCTTTACAAACATATGGAACATATTATGTTCAGTATATACTTTGGAATGTTGGTTATATGAATTTCAGAATATGGAATCCATGAATTTCAGAATATGGAATTCAAAAGGTAGTAAAAAAATAATTACTTCACTTCTCATTTTGTTTACTGATAGGAAGTAGTGAGGTTAAACTCAGAGACTTGCACTTGTTCGGCTGGTGTGATATTGGAGAGCTATGCCTTCAGCCCTGTTTTTCACTGCATAATTTTAGAATAGGGTCTCACTTCCTGCTGGGTTGTGCATCTGAGCCTTAAGCTGCCTATTTTAGGTTTCCCATCATTGCTGGGATCACAGATGCATGCTACTATATCAAGCTTCCCTCCATGAAGATGGAGTCTCTCCACGTTGGCCTAGAACCTTGTTCCTCACATTCTAAACCTCCCAAGTAGCTAGAATTACAAGTATGAGCCACAGGTGCCTAGTTTTCAGGGTTTTTTTTGGGCGGGGTGGCGGGATTTGGGGGGGCATGGGGGGGGTCAGTCAAGGGGCTTGAACTTGGGCCTGGGAGCTGTCCCTGAGCTCCTTTTGCTCAAGGCTAGTGCTCTACCACTTTGAACCACAGTGGTGGTTTTCTGGTGCTTAATTGGAAATAAGAGACTCACAAACTTTCCTGCTTGGGATAGCTCTGAACCACAATTCTCAGAACTCAGCCTCCTGAGTAGAGGATTACAAGCAAGAGCCCCCAGGACCTGATTTTATTTGTACTTTTATATTACCTAATTTTTTTCATAATGAGTATTTTAACTTTAAAAAACTAAAAAACTAGGGTATATATTTTGTTTTAGTTTTTAGTATATATTTTGTTTTAGTTTTTGGGTCCGATCGTGGGCCTGAACTCTGGGCCTGGGCGCTGTCCCTCAGCCTTTCACCTCAAGGCTAGCACTCTACTACTTGAGCCACAGTGCCAATTCCAGTTTTTTTTCTTTTCTGCTTACGTGGTGCTGAGGAATCGAACCCAGGGCCTCATGCATGCAAGGCAAGCGCTCTACCACTGAGCCACCTTCCCAGCCCCATATATTGTTTCGTATGTGTGACATCCGGGATTTGAACTCAGGGTCTAGTTACTGTCCCTGAGCTGTTTTTTGGTCAAGGCTAGAGCTCTTACCCTTGGTCCACTTTGGGCTTTTTGGTGGCTAATGGGAGATAAGAACCTTAAAGACATTTTCGCCTGACCTGGCTTTGAATCACATTCTCAGATCCCAGCCTCCTGAGTAGCTAGGATGACAGGCGTGAGCCACCAGTGCCTAGCTACAATTTGTATTTAATTTTTGTAGAGCAGTTCTAGAGTTTATAGAGAAACAGAGCAGAAAGTACAATGAGTTTCTATATAACATATATACATATATATACATAATCTGACATTTTAAACATATGTATACATTTATATATACATACATATATACTAACACATATATATAAAAATATAATTTCTTTATATTATTTATTAAATGCTATTTTAATATATAAATTAAACATACATCTGTTTATATGAATATATTTACATGTATAAATGTATAAAATATATAAAATATAGATATGTAAAATAGATGTATGAATATAAAATATGTAAAGAAAAAATATATATATATATCCTCCTAATACCACTAAATGCATTTACTAAGCCAAGTACTGTCAATTGTAGTCACCTCCAGAATGGCTACCAATGCCTTTCCCACCCTCCTCCCACCATGAGGAGGAGTATATTTCCCTACCTTTGAATGTAGGCTGACATTATGATGTACTTTGATCAAGAAATTATGACCCAAATGACACACCTACTATAGATATAATATGCTTAACATATACTTACCATTTGTATGTATTGACCACAATTTATGGTATGAGCAGTCCTTGCTATTTTAAGAAATCATTACAAAGGAATGCAGATTTGTTGTTTTTATTTGAATTCAGGACTGGAGATATATGTAGCTCAGGGGTGAAATGTTTGCCTAGTATGTGTGAGGGTCTGAGTTCAATCTCCAGCACAGCAAAAAGGAAAACAAAAAAGTTAAACAAAAAGTTTAGAAAGTAGAAGTTGAGAGTCTTTTGTCTTCCACAGTCACATATCATCATTACTGCCTTAGAGGTTTTGTTTTCATTATCAAGAAACACAAAGCAAAATATTAAAGAGGAGGCAAACATGGTGGCTCATGCCTATAATCTCAATACTTAGGAGGTGAATGGAGAGGAAAGCATTTTAAGACTCATCTGGGCAAAAAGTTCACAAAACCCCAACTCAACCAATAAAAAGCTGGGTGTGGTAGTGCGCACCAGTCATCCCAGCTCTGTAGGAGGCATCAACAGGAGGATTGAGGTCCAGGTCAGCTCAAAAAAATGAGAGATCCTATTTAAAAATAATGAGATAAGGTAAAAGGTCTCAAGGTATGGCTCAAGTAACTGGTGGTACACTTGTCTAGCAAGCATGAGGCCCTAAGTACAAAAAAGAAATCTGGAGAAAAGTGAAAAGAATATCTACAAAAAATCTTCCTGCTAGGTGCCAGCGACTCACATCTATAATCCTAGCCACTCTAGAAACTGAGATCCGAGTCTCAAGATTCAAAGCTAGTCTGGGCACCAAAAAGCTGGAAATGGAGCTGTAGCTCAAATAATATAGCTCTAGGCTTGAATGAAGAATCTAAGGAAGAGTGCACAGGCCCTGAGTTCTCAGTACTGCTATAAAAAGAAAAACAAATAAAAAATAACCATCTTTCTATCACACAAGTGTCTGTGTTGGGAAGCCATTCCTCCTGAGTGTTTCCCATTGTAGATATCTCTTTCCCCAGGCTCTTTAAAACAATATTTATATACTAAGCAGCTTGGGAAGAAAGGGACAGGCCAGGTAGACACACTACCAGTATAAAAGATTTAGAAATATACATATATAAAATATGAAATAAATGTTACTCTATTACTCAGCGTTCCTCTCTGTGTCTCCTGTAACTCAACTAATACTTTTAAGGTGTCATTTGTCTTAATGTCATCTTATGGGAAATCGAGGCTCAGGGAACCAACCTATAATGCTACCACTCTGGGAAGTAGAGTGATAACTTAAACCATTCATGGTCCATGACACAGCCTTTCATGAACATGTTTCTTTAATGAACCCAACATAATCAACCCACTGCTTGAAGCAGCTATGTAGTCTCTGCAGGAATTATCTCAACTTCCCACAATCGAAGCCATCCCTCCGCCCTCACTAATCTCACAGGTCCCCCAAATAAACACACTCACCCTTTCCCCTGCTCATAAAAAATATGGCATCTTCAAGTTAACATCTAAGAGAGTGAAGAGCCAGAATCCAAAAATGGCCCAGACAAAGAACACTTGGCCAAAGAACTCACAAGAAAGAGAGATGAGGCAGGAAAACACCTGTGCATCCCAGTGTCAAAGTCTCCAACCCACCCCATCCCACTCTCCAAGTACTGTATATATATGATGACATTAGATTCACCCAGAAATGAGAAATGAATCCTCTCCACAAACCACCCAGACTGTCCTGGTATAGCAATATAGTGTTGCCAGGGTAAGGACCAGGCAAGGTTCTGTACATTGTTTTTAATCTGGAAATAAAGCCGTGTTTATTTGCAAAATCATGCTCTTGAAGGTCAAGGAGATGACCCTGGCTTATAGCAGAAGGGGGGCTAGCTGAGAAATCCCCGTTTTCCTGGTAGTCTCCAGTTGAAAGTGATTGTCACTGGCAGGAAGGGAAACTGGATGCCAACAGGACCACCTCCCTATACACTCACGAAGAAAGCAGTGAGGAGGGGGAACACACAGGAACTTACCCAATGGTGGGGCTAATATTGTGGTCAAAGTGGTCCTGGACAAAGCGGCACACGATGCTTGACTTCCCAACCCCTGTGTCCTAGAAGAGAAAGAAGATAGCCATGAAGACCAAGGACATAGGAGCATGACACAAAAGGACACAGAGGCCATTTCTGGTTGATGACACTTCCAGAGCAGAAAGGAGGATATCTGCTTTAATTTCCCACCAGTATTGTCTATTAATGTAAACATACTGCTTTCATAGAAATAAAAGAAGTATAGGAAATGTTTTTAAAACACATTCCACACATATACAATTAGCCTAGAACAAGCTTGCTTACAATATGTATCTCCAGAACATGAGCATTGGAGAAGTGTCTAGAGAAGGCCTAAGCAACAAACAGAAAGAAAACTGATCTGTGTGTATGTGTGTGTGTGTGTGTCTAGCACATGTTACTAAGACAAACTCAGGGACAGGAAACTGTTCCTTAGCTTTTTCTCTCAGTGCTAGTACTCTACCACTTGAATCAAATTCCCTCCTCTCCTTCCCTCCCTGCCTCCCCCCGCCTCCCCCTCCCTGCCTAAGAAGGCAGTTCATTGAAGATAGAGTATCACAGATTTTTCTGCCAGTGCTGGCTTCAAACTGCAATCCTGAGACCTCAGCTTCCTGAGCGGCTCAGATTACAAGTGTGAGCCACCAGCAACTGGAAGGTTTGGTGATTTTGTTTTGTTTTGTTTTGTTTTGGTGTGTTTTTTGTTTGTTTATCAGTCCCTGCTTATAAAGAAAAAAGTGTAAGAAATGTAGCAATTGGGATCCATAGGTCTTACAGGTGTTTCTTGTAATCCTAGCTACTCAGGCAGGAGACAAGGATCTGAGGACCAGAATTTGAAGCCAGGCTGAGTGGGAAAGTCCTTGAGATCCTTTTTTCCAATTAACCACCAAAAAACTAAGGTAGGCTCAAGTGCTAGCGCAACAAGCCTTGAGTAAGAAGGCTAAGGGTTCACACTCAGCCTGAGTGTGGACCTTCTAGCTTCTAGCTCCTTCCCTATTAAACAATTCTTTTTTTTTTTTTTTTTTTTGGGTCCGGTCGTGGGGCCTGAACTCTGGGCCTGGGCGCTGTCCCTCAGCTCTTCAGCTCAAGACTAGCGCTCTACCACTTGAGCCACAGCGCCACTTCCGGCTTTTTTCTTTTTGCTTATGTGGTGCTGAGGAATCGAACCCAGGGCCTCAGGCATGCAAGGCAAGCGCTCTACCACTGAGCCATCTTCCCAGCCCTATTAAACAATTCTTAATAACTAATTAGGACTGGCTCCCAATAAATAGTGGAAATATACATGTCTCAGCCGATCTCCATTCACTTCCTAAGCCCTTGCTAAGTAGTAGTTTAAGAAATAAAAGGAAAAAGAGACAAGATCAAAGACAGGCAAAGAGACAGACCCAGACAAGTGGTATCAGCCAAGACAGGGAGACAGATGCCTGAGGAAGAAGATTCTGAAACCTGGCAGCAGGAAGGGCACCAGAAGGGTAGCAGTCAGTTTATGCCAGAGAATCCATTTAGACTTGGAAGATATGGCTGAAAACAGAATCCACAGAAAAGCCACAGGAAAGCATACCCAAGAGCCTCCAATGATGGGGCGGAAGCAGTCTGCATTCCAGGAAGACAAGAGTGGGGCGGGGGCTATCCTTTAGGAAGCACAGTCAAGGAGGGAGCCCAGTATCATTCCCCTGAGCTATACAAATCCAGGCAGAAGCTGGATGAGTTCTGCACTGGGTGATAGGGAAAAAGCCCACAAATCCCAAAGATCTCTCTGTTTCCCTCTCTGTCTCTCTCAGTCACTTTTTGTGCCGGTAGTAGGGCTTGAACTCAGGGCCTAGATGCTTTCTCTTAGCCTTTTCACTCAAGGCTGACACTCTACCACTTTAACAGTAGTCTTTTAACTAAACAGCATGTGTGCTTCAATCCACAAGACCTATTGAAACACAGCTTTCAGTTTGCTTTTTTTTTTTTTGGCAGTACTGGACTTTAGACTGAATCCCATGCCTGTTAGCCAGATGCTCTACCATTTTAGCCATGCCCCAGCCCTGTTTTCTTTAGGCTTTTTGTTTGTTTGTTTGTTTTTAAGGTAAGATCTCTATTTTTTTTGCCCTGGCCAAATTGGACCACAATCCTACCTAACTCTCTTTTCACCTATTCTCATAGCTGGGATTACAGATGTGTATCAACATACCTTGTTAGTTGAGACAAAGGTCTTGTTAACTTTTTTTTTTTGGATCTGGTCGTGGGGCCTGAACTCTGGGCCTGGGTGCTGTCCCTCAGCTCTTCAGGCTCAAGGCTAACGCTCTACCACTTGAGCCACAACACCACTTCCGGCTTTTTTCTTTTTGCTTATGTGGTGCTGAGGAATCGAACTCAGGGCCTCATGCATGCAAGGCAAGCACTCTACCACTGAGACACCTTCCCAGCCCTCTTGTTAACTTTTTGTTCCAGCTAAGTCTCAAACCTCATTCCACAGAGCTCTGCCTCCTAAATAGCTGGAATTACAAATCTGCATTACCACACTAGGCCCTGAATTTTCATTATAAAAAAAAAAACAGACACTGATGCTCCCTCCAAAAACATAGCAAGGTTAGAATAAAAGCAATGTCTTTGAAATTAAAATTATGATGGCAGAAATTTAAATTGCAAAGGAGGAATTAGAAGATGAAAATCAGAAAACTGGCAGAATGTAACACTAAAGTACAGTACAATTAAGAATTACTCATCTGAAGATACAGCAAAAGCAGAAGACCAACATTCAAAGACACTGTCAACACAGATTTCAGTGTCCTTATCTGTTAGGACCATGGACACAACTGTAGTTGAGCCTGGAATGTCCCCCAGGATTTCATGTGTGAAAGACTTGGTCCCAGTGCAGCAGCATTCAGGGGTTTTGCCCAAGGAGACTGATTATATCTGGAAGGCTCTGATTTTGGATCGCAGCTGAATTGGGCTATTGAGAGGTGGTAGGAATTTGAAGAGGCAGGGACTACTTGCATGAAGTAAGTCACTGGGAATGTGAACTTGAAAGATGTAGTTTGTCCCTAGCTCCTTCCTGGTTCCCCATTCTTCGCTTTGTATCTGCTATGGGGAAGCAGCTCTGCTTCACTGCACACTGCATACTCACTGCCATGATGTTCTACCTCACCACGCACCTGGAAACAGAGGGACCAACCACAGCCAGAAATCTCTAAAACCATGAGTCAAAATAAACCTTTAATCCTTTTAAGTTGATCATCTCTGGCATTTTGTTGTGGCTACAGAAAGCTAACTAACACAGAAACTTTCTGAGATTTATAAGAAAAAGACAAGTACAACTCATTTAGCAAGCAAGGGAAGAACAGCAAGTCCATTCTCATGAATTAAAGGTATAAATTTAAAAGCAGAGGATGGGGGATGGGAGGTGGGGGGATAGGGGGTGGGGGAAGTGTAGTCGTGGAGGTGGGAGGGCAGGGATGGTAGGGGAAAAACAAAGGAGGAGGCAACAATGCTTGATAAGAAATGTACTCATTACCTTGCTCATGTAACTGTAACCCCTCTGCATGGTATTTTCACAATAAAAAAACTTATTAAAAAAAATTTAAAGCCGAAAGATCAAGGAGAAAATGTTAAAAACTCAAAAGAAATGTGTTTTTCTTCAGACACTGAAATTAGAAATGAGACCTGAAGTGCAACTGGCAATCTGAATTACTTGGATCCTTTCTTACTTCTGTGTTTGGGAGACAATATCTGGAAATCTGAGGCAAGAGGGACCCCCATAGGGGTGGGGCCTTCTGGGGTAGACTATCTGTGGATGGTCACAGCCAAGACCCCAAACACACAGACACAGACACACAGACACAGACTCTCTCTCTCTCTCTCTCTCTTTCTCTCTCTCTCTCCAAGGCTGATTCTCTGGACAAACTGATGTTTAGAGAGGTTTTTTTTTTGTTTTTGTTTTTGTTTTTTTTTCTTAAGTGACAACAGCAAAAAGATATCAGTGCAGAAGATTCCAATCAACTCCAGCAGCTCTGGTCTATAGCTTCCTGTAGATTCTGGCCCAGATGCCCTTCCCTCCTCCAAACCAACACAGTTTAGACTTTGCTCTTAAGTCACAGTCTTGTGGATGGGCACACCCTTGCCTTCCTTCATCCATGCCAACCCCAGGGAAATAAATAAAAACTGGACAGCTGTGACTCCTTTCCCTGCCCCTGCAGACAAGGACAACCCCCCTGGCTGCCAGCACTCTTCCAGGAAGCCAACTGTTTCCTCCAGATGGCTACACTTCAGAGTGGGGACCTAGCCCTTCTGCTGACCACTCAATTCCTATTTTTCTCCATTGTAGTTTAGGAATTCTTTCTCAGGGCTTTTACAACCACCATTCATATACTCATTCATTCTTTTTCCCCCTTTGCTTTTTCTCTCAGGGCTAGTGCTCAACCACTTGAGCCACAGCTCCAGTTCTGTCTCAGGGACTTTCCTGCTAGGGCTGTCTTCAAATCTGAATCCTTAGATCTCAGTCTCCTGAGTAGCTAGGATTAGAGGTGTGAATCACCACCATTTTCATTCACCAAATAAGCATTCACTACGCCCTGCCTTCTCCAGATCAAAGTTTACTAGATTCAACCTTCCATGGCCTGCTAGAATCCTGCAGCAGTGGTGGGTGGGTGGCAGCTGGTGGCGGCAGGGCAAAAGGGGCAGGGGTTGAGTTGCACTCTTCTGAAACAAACTGAGGCACTCAATTCCTCAACCGCCAAGCTTGGTTCCTGCTTTGCCCTCCTTTCTCTATCCTCCCTCCTCCAAAAAACTCTCACAGGACTCACAGTGGTGCTGTGGCTACTGATGCCCGGGTTTTGACGGATGCCACACCTTCTCAGCTGAGATGCTGCTCTGGGATGGCATCAGCCTGCAGTCCATTGACCCAACTCTGTTCCAAACAACTCACCCATCACCCTCAAAATACTCTTTCTGATAACAATTTAAAAAACCATCTTTATTCCTTGGCAGCTACAACTCACACTAAAAAACAGCTTTTCTGAGTAGATGGATCAGCAAGCTTGTTTAAATGTAACTGCGATAATTG